AGGGGACGCGCACAAGGTCTCCAGTTCACCCTGTGAGTCAGGATGGACCCTGACTTTGTCTGACGCGGGAGCTACGTTGTCAGCATGATGAGGCACTTCCTGCTGGGCAAGAGAAAGACTTCTCCTCTGTCGTGGAAATTGCCTGTGGCCAGTGGGCTCCCGATTGTCCTCCACTTCCGGGCAGCCCATCTCTGGACAGCAACCGTCAGGCCCCAAGTCCATGCATTAGCCTCTCTTCCATTCCCCAAAGTCAGCCCGCAAACGGGCCCCGTGGGGTCCCTCTCCAGATTATAACCCACATCTGTCCGCTTCTCCCCTGCCTGCCCTGTGTCATCTCAGCCGCTCCCAGCTCTCACTAGACCGGTGTGGCAGCCTCCTCTCTGGTCTCCTGACTCCACTCTGCCCTCTAAGTCCCCTCATATTCTTCAAGTGGGCTTCTCACTGCTGGCGGATCAATCCACCACGGGATCTGACTCCTCTGGTCCTTGTGCTCTGCCCCACTTCCTGTGCTCCAGTCACACTGCTCTCCCCCTGGCCCTCTAAGATGCCAAACTCCTTCCTGCCCCAGGGCATTTGGACCTGCTGTTTCCTCTGCTGGGACTGCTCGGGCTCCAGGGTGAGCAGTGGCTCTGTCCGGTACCTCAGGGCTCAGCTCAAGTGACGCCACCTCCAAGGGGCCCTCCCTGCTTTCTCTGAGTTGCTGCTGAGGGAGCCTCCACCAGGCCAGCTCTTCTCCCACCTGCCTTCTGTTCTAGTTGCCTGTAGGACACTCATCACGATCGGAATTTACTATTGATTTGTTTACTTGGTTATCATCGCTCTGAGGAGAATGTAAAGCTCGGTTGGGGGGCAGGAAGCAGGTTTATTGTGGTCACCACTGAATCTCCAGGGCCTGGAATAGTGACTGCCCCAGTGTAGGTGGGTGCCCAATACCTATTTGTTGAGTGAATGAATGAATAGAAAAATCCTAGAAAAAATCTGGATAACAGGTGCTAGATGGAGCCCTGGGTGCCGGGTTGTCCCTCCCTAGACAACTCTAATGCAGGAGCTCTGGGACCCCACGGAGGGCCACCCTGGCAGGATGGCTTCCCAGTGTCCTAGGCTCTGGAGTTTTGTGCTTCTGTGGTTCACACGGCACCCTCGAGGCCGACTGTGTGAACTTGGCCTTGAGTAGGCTGGGTTTCAGGGAGATCCCAAAGGGCAGAGAGGCAAAGCGGGAAGGAAAGACACCGAGCGAGAGCTGCCCTGCTTTTGGTAATACAGAGATGCCACCCTGCATCGCAGGGCAAGTGTCCATCCTGGCACTGAAGCCCCTCCTGGAAACAGACCGCCCACTTGCCTCTCCACATCTGAGGCCTCCCCCACCCCCACCCCTGGGCCTCCTCTGTTTCATTGATGGAGGCCAGGGTTCATTCACAGCCGCCTTCCCCATGCCTGCCTGATCCACAGGAAGTGGGGCCGTTGAGCCAATGGAAGTTTATTGAGCACCTTCCGTGTGTGAGGCTCTGTTCTCTCCAGATGCAGGAGCCAATGAGTTCATGGGACTGAGAGCAAGGGCAGTGTGGTGGTGGGGGGGGGGG